CTGTTTTCACACTACTTTCATGCGCGACGCTTCTTGAGAGAACTGAAAACACCAACTACCTTGCTCTCTATTCTTACACACTGCTTTACGGTATTGAGCGATATTTTGCAGGCAGGGCAGAAAAATTAACATTGCTGCCAAATGTTACCCTTGAGGAAAATTCTTCGATTGCTTTCACTGCCCAAAGACATCATAGAACATTAAAAGGCAGTAGGAAGGAAACGAGGGATGCAAAAGACACTTGGAAGCTTGAGATCAAATTTCAACTACGAATCTTCTGTACATATCACTACCGGATGTTCCGTTGAGGAAAATCGGTTGCGTCGTCCTCGTATGCCACACCAGTACTTCCTGTTTCTGGAAACCAAAGACGTCATATCGTTCTAATACATAAATGAAAAAAGTGTAAAAAATGCTCGCGCTCGTATACTGAAATGGGGTGCTATTGCTTTCACATACTTCGAAGCTACCAGGTGGGACGAAAAGTTCTGTGCCACTTCGCACAAATTATTTCGAGAAATGCCGAAACACACCCAGATGTTTCTGCCATCGATTAATGAAGGGTTTCCGAAAAGAATTCTGCCGAAGGTGTGTTATGGTCCTCGAGGTACTTGTCGACCTATTGTATGAATCCCTGTGGGACTACCCTGCCCTACCGAGGGAGCGAAATCCCGTTAGAATAAGAAGATTGTCGCTCCTCAAACCAGTGTGCTGCTTGAAGCCGGACACATTTCATGAAGGTAAGCAACGTTCACCGCCGGTGGTAGGGAATGGGAGCGGCTTCACTCAACGGTCTGGAAACGCAGCCCAGTGTAGCCACCGGGCTGCTAGCAGGAACTTTAGGCTGAACATGTGGCACCTATCAAGTTTCCCTAAATCATCATTTAGGAATGTTTTCCTACTATGTGCAACATCTAATATGTGCCACAGTGGTAAGGCGAACCGAGTGGAAGTGATTGAGTCACACTCATTCAGTCACTCATTGGAATGACGTTTTGGCAAGAGTCATCTGGGAGCGTCGGGTAATGAACAGCGGGGTTCGCTGTACGTAAACAATACTTCATGCACGAATTTCTCTTTGAGGGAGAAAAGGCTTCTGGCAAGAGACAAGAGCAAGAAGTGGCAGTGGAGAGAAAGTTATGCTGACGTCAGTGGATTTTTGAAACTGTGGGGAGATCTAAAGAAATATTGATTCGATTGCCTCTGGCTGTATGGCGGCCTTTGCATCAGTTCAGGTCCCTTATGCTCCCTACGGCGACAACGCAAGGACGACTCTATTCAGCCGCTCCCAGCCACTGCCCGTTCTCATTTATGACTATACGAACTTATACATATCCCGCACCTATTCCTTATCATAAGCTCCTAAAAAATGTTTATGCCTCATAAAATAAAAATGTCAAGGCTTCAGAACAAAACCCTTGTTGGCTGTTCCCTTTCATTCAAGTCCGAAAGAAGACGGGTTCGATGTCGTTTTGAGAGAAACCCATATCTTCCAAAAAACATGGTTCTGGTGCTCCGAACCCACTGCGACAAGATTTCCCAAAAACAGCTGTTGTACTGAAAATACGCAATCGGTCGCTTGAAATAAGCTGTTTGTGTTCTCCTCAGCAGTATAGTATTCAAACGCACTTTAGCACAGCGTCGAGATTAATCGCAAATCCTGCCATGTCAACTGCGAACTTCCGTTTGGGACCCCATTTGACTTTATATCCGACGACTGTTCCATTCACAACTTCAGGAGATTCCACTGGGCTTCCGCCGGCCAACCCTGAACATAGATACTGTGTAAGAGAAACAATAAACAAGAAGTAGTATTTTCTCACCAACTGCCCACATTCCAAGCTTTTTCACATGTCGTATATAGTCAGTGAACAACCGCGTGTCATATGAGTTATCATCATCACCAAAATAGACGACACCCTCTTTGTAGGTCCCCATCACTGATTTAGTGTTGTTCCGCAACATTTGCAAGGCGGTTGTTCGCTGGTACCACCCACGCTCTGACGTAGAAATTATTACGTTTATTCTGAGAGAGATATACACTCTATTGTGGTGAGCAAGTTTCACTAAAGAGATTCATCCAATGAGACTCCTGAAGGAAATAATGAGCCCCACTTACAGTATTCTGAGAAATACATGTAGGCAAGATATGAAAAAATTTAAAAGAACCTTCTTCTCTTTGACAGGGTCCCCGAGGCGGATATGGTGTAGTGGCAAGCAATCTTACCACGACGCGCGGTCTGGAGATTGGCTTCCGCCGAGGACAACCAAGACTTCTACTCCAGAGGACATTTAATTAGTAGCAGATTCGTCTGGGAGGGCAATGACACAGATCTGTACATCGGCCCATCATTTTAGAGACCACATGGCACTCAATAAGCTCTGCGATTCTGAACGTAAGTTAAATGCTTGCCGCATCACAGAAAGGGAGTGTTCAGTGGCGAGACCTTCATCCTTTATCCTTCAATAGGTTGCCATGCGTGGAATTGAAACCTCATTACCAGGGGCCCAGGCTGAGTGCCTTATGGAAGTTTGTGATCGGATAACCACACGAACTTTTTAAGACCGTCCTTCTTCACTAATATACAGTCGAAGTCGATGTAGTGGGCGTGGCGAGTTCTTCAAACTAAACACGTGACGGTAGCTGTGCTTTTGGCGAGATTCTCACAACTGCAGTCATGTTTCTGTCCAACATGGAACTAAACGACAACTGTCTCACACTTAAATATCCCGCCGAGATAAACCCATGGTGCAAATCCGCACCGGGGAGCTGGGCGTTTGAGCGCGATTTCATGCGCCGTTTACGGGTACATGCCTACCGGATAACTTGCCCAAATCGCTGAACTGTAAGGTTTTCGTAATTTGTAGCCTATCAAAAGCCGTCACTTTTGGTTATAGTGCTCATTATTCTAACAATAATTTTTCTTCTAATGATCACTTAGGGATATACACTAGTTTGGAAGTTATGGCGAGTTGTTTGCACCTGGAAGTCGGTTTGCCTGACATGTTCTGACGCGTAGACGACAAAAAATCGCGCCAAACGACATACACCCGGCACCGGAGATCGTACTCGCGCTTTCATGCTTCCACTACTCAGGTTTACAAGTCTCATTCTGCTCGGGAAACTTGTAGCTCTTGCTAAGAGCTGGACCAAGCTCGTCTAGCCACCTTGGTAAAACGTGTCAACTCAAGAAAAATCTATCTAGACCAGGGAGCTGCATTTTTGAGAAGATTCGACAGATCAATGGGAAGCAAAATGTCCCTCCCTCCTGCCCGCTGCCCAACTGCGCTGTAAACCATTTGAACGCAATGCTATGAACGCCACGCCACTCCGGATAAAGAAAAGGGTGTATTATGTGCTTGGTAAATATTTTGCCAACTGTACTCTGGAATATCCGCAGGGTCGAGCAGCGATATAGGTGTAGGTGTGTGTTGCTCGGCTGATAATATCTTGCACATATGGATTGGTATAATTAGCATCTTCAACGACGAACCAGTGGATATGCGGGACAAGCCGTAGCGTATTCGACATTCTGAAAGTTTTCTCTTGGATATGCTTTTAAATTGAGGAAAGTACATCATTGACAAACAAGTGGTACTCTCGGAATGTTGGGAGAAGCATAGGTGAAGAGACTAAGTTTAACTGGTTGATAGCCTTTGATACCGAGGGAAGGGAGAGAGTCAGCGGAAGCTGAATAGAGTTAGGAAAATACGCGAAAAGGTGCTAAAAAACTTTGCTCCCTTTGGTTCACATTTACGTGGTTTTCAGAGCTGTACTTTTCAGCGAACACCATTCTTCCCCGCTGTCAACATCATTCCTGTCCACCGATTTCTTAGATCGGAGACTATTATCAGATCATTGCGATATTATGCTCTCCCACGGCCAATTTTCAATGGGGGACTTAGCTTCACTGTAGGATCCCACCTTTATGTTGCAAGGCAAGGGCGCGATCCTCAGGAGAAAAAAAAAACAACACATTCCCTTCCCGCGTATGACGGAGTCTGTCAGGATGATGGGTTTTTCGGCGGCCATCCAGCCAGTTTCGAGCGACGATACTGTAGCATAACGTTGATATCAGTCATTTTCATAACTGCAACAACTGGTGGAGGACGAGCTGACGCAGTGTTTAGCCTAGCCTAACCACCTACACCACCACCTATGTCTATTTCTTCTTCTAACTGACGCGCCCGACTAGTTGCGGCCAACCAACGAAACTGTAATCGAGTACGAAAGCACTACGTTCTGCTACGAGTGGCATGTGGCTTTGAAAGAAGGATTCTGCCCCTGCAGCATCGAGTCCGCCTATTCCTCCCATTTCAATAAGTATATCCTGCATGCACGAGTGGTGCCGTTCGAGCAAATGCTATCGCTGGCTCTGCTAAAACTTGGATTCGATTATCTAAATGGTAGATGGGATGCTATATGATGTCACTCCAGAAACGAGTTTCCACAGGCTACTCTGGTTGGTATAGGTTGACCACCCGATTCCCACGTCAGAACTTGGCCAGCAATTCATACCCGTCTAATCTCTATTATCTAGCGGGATGCGTCAACGCGCGTCATCACAAAGTCTGAACGCTGCCTGAGGATTCGATGGTAATTGGGTGGGTCGGATACGTCACACACTTTCATAATCATCGATAGGCCAGGACGGTTACCGACTCGATTCCAAGGTACGTGAAACTGACACCAGGACAACCGACAGCCCGACGAAGGATGGGGAGGGAAGAAAAACTAACCGTTGGCGCGCACGCGGCTTGTGCCATGTAATGCCACGTTTTAGTCCTTGTCCACCTTCCCGTAACAATTTGTTGGCAAAGTGCTAGAAAATTCGTCCTTTCAGGAGCGCTAGCCTTCGTTTCCTTTTCGCCGCGTCATCGCTGCAGAGACAGTAAGCTCTCCCTGCGTGCGCTCGAGGGAGGGTGTTACCGCGAAGCCGATCACTGAGGGGATAAGTTTCCTTGCGCCAATTTGACTGCAGACAACGTGCTAGGCAGATCCAACGTGCGCGGGTTGAGTGGCTCGTTCCAAGGTTCAGCATCGCGATGTGTGAAATGGTGGTGTCAGTACGATCCCCCTCTGCTCTTACTCAACACCTCCCACCTTTACTCAACACCCTTCCCACCAATTCCCCAACATCTTCCAGTTTCCCACCCGAAGACCTCCCGTCGAACGGGAGAGGAGGGGGATGGGGGGCATATAGTACACATAAAACAGGAGGAATTACGAAAAAGTCAAGAACCGGGAAAATTTTTTCCCAACGCGGCAAATTTCTCCCAAAGCCACATATGACCCCACCCCCCGCCTATCCCAACAACGACCAAATGCGACCCCCTCCCCAGCGGGCAAGTACGAATCCCCATGTGTTTCACGCAACGATGCTGAGCCCATTGTCTGGAGCACCACACGTTAGAACGAATTTCAATCAACACCTAGTTTCTTTTACAAATTAAGTGAGCAATTATTATTTGTACATTCACATAAATCCCACCTTGTCATATCGGCCAGACGTGTAGGCCGTCGGTATGTAGGAGTGATAACAATGATAAGAGGGACCGATGGCGTCACCGTCTGTATGGCAGACATCAATCCACTCCTGAACTATACTGTATCATGATATCTTGCCACAGCATGCCAGATTTTGGAGAAGTCGCGGTGATTAAAGTGTTTGTAATATAGCAACCAGGCAGTCAATAGAGCAGGTTCTTCTTTATTTGTGATTTTCATTTGCAGAACATACACTCCGTTCGCGGAGATAAAGTGGGGGTAGTAGCGTTCTTCACATGAACGTGATAGCCGCTGCGCTTTCGACTGGGTTATTTTATTGTGACCAACTGTGGTCACTTCTTTGTCCAGCGCAGGGCATGATGACAGCTATTCAGTCGGAAACACCACCGCCTCACAAACGAGTACAGCACCGTGTTAATATTGCGTGCGCAACCACGCCCCGCCCATCTGTGAGGGCTATAGAGTGCAGTTGAAAATCTATAGGGCTGTTGACAGCCGAGGGAAATCTTTTCAACACAGTATACCTGTTATGTGAAGTAGCCATAATTGTTAGAAGAGCGTGTGCCACCAAGTGTGAAGGGCATGATAACTGGAAAGAGAAGCGATGTCCTTCTTACTATCCTGCTATGAGTCAATATGACTCGGAGTATTTGCGCCTGAAAGTTTCGTAGTGGGACGAGAGTGAATCGCGAGAATAGCAAAGCTGTGATCAGGTATTCGGAACAAGCGCTATTTTGTAGTCTTTTTTACCAGCTGCGGATCTGCTTGGCGACGATGTCAAGTACACCTCTTTATCCCGTGAGAAGAGTAGGCGCGGCCTTTTGCACATGGCCCCCAGTAGGACGGTTTTTCTCTGGGACTTCAATTTGAAACACTCGCGTACCTTGTTCTGCTGTTCTATGTGACTATGGATTACGACTGCTTCCCAAAATGACAACACTCATGGAACAACCGGTAAGCACGGGTCGCGCCATTTCAAATTACCAGTACGCAGCCACCACCCAATCTCAGGGATTTCGAGCACATGTGCTCGGCTAGGAGGAGAGAGTGTGTTGGTGTCTGGGAATCTATAAAAGCTTGATTTCTGTAAGGGGCATTAGAGAGAGAGAGGAAGAGAGAGACTGAGAGGAAGAGAGAGAGGAGTCGCACGCACGACGAGAGAGAAGAGTAAGACAGGGAGGACTGTCCATTGTGGCACCAACAACCAGAGAACTCTAGGGAATACGGCCGAGTCTCCGGCGCGGTCTTTAGTGATCAGCACGACTGTCATGTTTGCTATTCTGATCTTGATAGACCCCCATCTTCGACCACATCGACCGCTGGCTTCGAAAAAAAGAGAGTAAAAAAGAGAGTTCTCCGAGCAGGTTAAACAGGGTCCTTGGATCCGATGGGCCGTATAGGTGAAAGGATGAGAAAATTATTCGTCGATGAGAGGAAGTGACAGCATCAGATAAAGGTTGATAACTGCAAGTTTGCTCTACTTTCTCCGTCTCACCGTTCAGGATCATAATACAGGCAATTTAATTCTGGTATCAGAAAGTGGGCTATTGGACAACTCATTCATGTACTTTTATCAATGGTAACAACACATGCGATAGCGAAACTTATTAGATTCCAGATGAATGGTAGATGTTTAAAATACATGATAAGCAGCAGTAAACGACGTTATCTTAACTAGTTTTTATCATACCATTACCAAAAACCGTTTGAAGCCGTTCTGCCGCTGCCTACTGCTGCATGTGGGGGTGCATTCGGCAGTCGTACGTTTCTAGAGGAGGAAATGCATAGAGCAGTAGGATCCTCCATCGGCGGGGAACATGAAGCAGTGGCACACACTATGCCCAACTTGGCAGGTTACAGGAACTCTTTCATGAACAGTTTTTTTCCAGCTACCCAAGCACATTCGTGAAAGAAAGCCTAAGTTCTGGCACTAACCGTGGGCTCTGATGTCCTGTAACTAATTGGTGTTCAGTAAAGGTTATCTTTACTTCAAGATTTCTGAACGAATTCGTTCATTGCACCCACTACAAAAATTCAGCAGAACGAACCATTTTTTTTCTGAAGAAATCCCGCGATTGAACGTTGTGCGTAGTGACGCTCAATCAG